GAGATAGAGATAGAGATAGAGATAGAGATAGAGATAGAGATAGAGATTTGTTTGGGTATATATATTGCCTTGCAGTAACATCTAGTAAATTCTTCATCATATCTCTTGCTTTCAATTGTTCTACAAACTTATAGTTTCATTAATTTCTATCACTTGTTTATTTCTATCTCTTGTTTATTGCCACAGAAATTCACTTGTTTGCTCAATAAAAATAGGAAATAATCTGTAAACTCTTTTACTATTTTGTATTCAATAATGCAAACCTCTTTTCCATACCTGAGACATAGCAAATGTCAACATTTCTCATCAATGGACTCATCAAATGTCTTGGTCTTCTAGACATATTCCAGATACTGTCTACACCTTAACTGAGGTGCTAGTATCTGCTGATGGTTATGATTGGCTCTATGATATTTTAAGACATTCCTGAAAAGACATACTCCCAGTGGCTTTTCCATTGACTATGTTAACTACAGCTTCTAGCATTACCGGTGTTCTCCTACAGCTATTACAAATTAATTATATATGAACCATTATTTGTTTAAATATTTGTCTTCTTTCTCATTATATAGTCCACTCATTGTTCACCACCATCACAAAGTTTCTTGGCATAACATGTCCTTCTTAAATATTAACTGTTTGTGGGCTTATTTTTATCTGATTATAAAGTATATCTAACTTGATGAAACTATAGTCATATTGTCACTATAGATTCTGGCGAAACTCAGCAATAATACAAAAAGAATGGATTTGGGTGGACATGATGTAAATATAGTACCCATAAATGAAAATTTAAAACAAAATTAACATATATCTTTAAGAGGTCAGTAGTCAGTTTTAATAGTACATGGAGTTTAAGATTCAGAATACGAACTATATTTCCATTTTTGCATGTGTTTATAAAGGATGTATGCCTTTTAAACTACTATTAAACTAAGATTAAACTTAAAATAATAAAGCATAGAATACATTCTATGCCTTTGGAATTTAAAGATGTCTGACTGATCATAAAGTAGACAGAGGGTAAACATAAAATCTCCAGCCTGAATTACTACCATAAATTATTCTACATTAAGATCTGATGTATCCAAAATAATCAAACAAATAAAAGTGATCAGAAATTGATTACTGAGAAAAAGAAAGCTATAAGATTAATCATTACATATCAAGATGCCTTCCTTCTAGAGACCCTTCGCATGTGTCAGGCTCAAAGTAACTTCACATATAAAAGACCAATTAAATTTAATGACTTATAGTAAAATGTTATTAAGCACACAGGGAAAGAAGCTATTGTGTATAACAGTCCTGTGAAATGAAATGATGAAAACTTTTGATATTGGACTATTTAAATCTTTAAAATAAAAGTAATTATGAGAACACATAGAAGAAGCACCATGAGACTTTACCAACTGAAATGAAAATAAATTTACTATAACAGAAGGCAAAGTTAATGTCTTCAGTTTTGCAGTAATGAACTATTATCATGGTCTCCAAACAGAGAACAACTTGAACTAGATAAGCCAATACTGAAAGGTGTTAATGGTTATATTTCTTCTCATCATTATTTTTTATAAATATATTTATTGTCTGGTTTGTTGCATATAAATATAAATGTACATATTCAGTCATTAGTATTAACTGACCTTCAGAAATGTTTAAATAGAAAATATTCAGAAAAAAACAGAAATGCAGGATGAAAAAGATCGAGGGAGGAAAATGAGGGTGACTGAAAAGGAGGTAAGTGGAACTGAATATGTTTAAAATAAGAATTGAAAACGTTGGCAGGTTTCTTGAGAATAGATTCCAGAAAAATTTAGTAAATTAATGATATCCTACAAAGGCAGGTGTGAGTTGTCTCAGAAAAAGAACAGATATATTATGCTACCTTCTGCAAAAATAAGCTATGTATTTAAGACAAATTATTATGGATATAAATAGTTATATGTAAGACTGGATATTAAGAAAAATAAAAAGAGGTAAAATACATATGTATTTTGAAGTATTAAGTTGAATGAAGGCCTGTTTATTATAAAATATATAAACTTTTTCCGTCTGAAATTATGAATAAAAATAACTTCTTTAACACTTATAAGTTACCTATATCATAATCCCAATTAAACATACATGTTAGAAAAAAAGGGTATAATTAAAGTGGAAATTTCTGGTTTCCTTGAATTCTCAGTTGTGGCACATGACATTTTTCTGGAAGCTGTCTTGTGAGAGGACAGACATATGTGATGTTTTCCTGGACTTGACACTTAGAGGATTGTGATGCTCATGAAGGGTGTAAACGGAACCCCACAAACAGTGAGAGGATTCTCTTGCATTGTGATGCCATGGCATGTGTCACTAAGTTAGTCTTCC